AGGAGACGGAAGATAGGTGAATAATGCGGCGGCCGACCCCAGCACGCCTTCGGATGAGTGCATTGTCCGAAATCCATAGTATAGTCAGTGCGTGCCCAAGGGCTATGGTCACCACAGCGCAATGCTCGTATATTACCTGTATAATCCATCCTGTTGGTCTTTGCTAGTGTCATGATCACTTTCCGTACTCGTATCATGGCTCCTGTCTTTATGCCTTAACTGTAAGTCCGATTAATCGCAACGTCTTATTCAACGTGCGGAATCGCCAGCTGCAAATATGTCGAGGTAGCGTGTCTTCTGCATCCACGTTCGAACGTCAACAGTCGCCACAGGTTGATGTCCATCACGTAAAGCGATTCGCTCCAGCGCAGCATGACTAGTCCGCTGAACAACGCCGACGCCGGGTCCATGTAGTAGATCTCGTGGTGTATCCAATGGGACTGCTCAAACAAGTACTTGGCCGCGGAACTGAGCAGCAGCGACGACCGCTTCTTGTCGGTGCGGGTTTGCGGTAGAAGGCGTCGAGTAATCAAATAACACAATGTTGGCTATGGCGATCATCACAAGTAGGCGGTATACGCGGGCTACGTGGCCAATGGTAACCACCCCGATTTGACGCTCGACCTGGAATTCCATCATGGCGTGCCTTGTGGGGATGATCAACGTCCCCAGAGCCACGCCGGATCGAGCTGGCCGACGCCTACGCCCTTGTGTGCTGCTGGTTATGACCATCAGCACATCGGTTAAGACGTACGCGATCGAGGTAGCTTCGCTCGCCCCCTGGATTGTCATGGACCACAGCTAGTCGGGTGACTCGAAACGAACGATAAACGGAGTCTGCGATGGCGTCAGTTCCAGCGAGACCGTACTGAAAGCTATCAACGCCGTGACGCCGCGTAAGCACAGAAACGAGCCCCGCCACGCGATTCAATTCCAGCATGTTTTGACCCTCTAAGTGACCCTTGGATAGCCCAATGTACGCTGAGGCATCGGTCAATACCACCACCAGCATCGCCGTGTCGTACTGCACCCCCCACCACCGCCTATCGAGCAATGGCGATGGAGATGGCAGCGTTGTCGACGCTGTGGGTGAGCGGGGGGGTCCACTCGATCAGGATCGACATCGCCCCACGTCGCCCTCCGCCGTCACGAGTTCTCGCTCGGCCAGCGCCCCTGTATCGCATTCACCTAGCTCCACAGGTGGAATGACGGGTCCCCCCTGTCTAAGAGGGCGAACGTCACAATTTCGAACGGACTAACACCCGACTGCCCGACAAACTGAAACAGCACGACGCGCAGCTGCATCACGTCGCGTAGTTCTCGCATTAGGATTACTATGGGTAGCCACAGCAAGGTACGCCAAGGCTGGGCGAAGCAACTCTATACATTTGAATTTATACATGTGAATTTTCCCTATGATGCAAAAGCATCTTCCAAACAAGATATTCCCCCAAGGATTTTCAGGGAAATAATATTGGAAAATTCGTGTGAATTCTTGGTGCAAATCACTCTAATAACACAAAATTCTACTGTTAGTGTTGATATTGTGCTTTCAAGCTCAATTTGGTATTAACGTTATCGGTGGCATCCACGAACACTGTCTTCGACGAAGATATTGGATCGCATGACGCATGTGATAGCGATTACCTGATTCTAATTAGTATATACTACAGCAGGGCGTGATACACCTGCAATGTGATTGGTCAAAATAACTATTCACTCGATCATTTCATTGGCTACTTCGGTCCGTTGATTACTCGGTCGATTTTGGTGCATCGATTTACAGTTAACAGTCCATTTTGAAATCGAATTACCAACAAGCAAATAACGTTACGGCGAAGTATATATGGACAAGGACGATGGTACATACTGGCAGCGAGTACGTGTATCCGTGAGAGTGTCTCCATGAAGTCTCCGCATGCGTAGCACACGCTGTTGAAAGCAGCCCACGGTCATGACACGCAGTTTGTGCGCCACTCGTTCCAGAAAGCCCTACGACGATGGACCAAGTCGCAGCAGGAACGCCAAAAGCTCGAGTCGTTACTGGAGTACGCGACGTGGATGATGACGAACCAGTCACTTACCCTCACCTAGGTACGTGTCGTATTGCGCCGACGTGCTCGACGAGTCAAAGGATGGCGGGAACCTCCCGCGATCACTGCAAGACCTCGCTCGCGTGGAGAAGTACGTGGACAAGATCGTCGTACCGTACGTTACCAAGCATGCGTGCGAACACACCACGGCACTTTCGTCCGCTTCATCTGCCGTCACGGACCATGGCTTGGGGCGTTCTGCGTCGTCCCCCTCGGTGCATTCCGACGACCTGCCGTCCATCATTGACAGCGACATCCCATCATCCAGCATGTCCAACGCGCTTCCTCGTCCTATTGTCCTGGACGCCGACCATGAACCTACGTCTCTATCGTCGGGGGATGTGTATTCATGCACGCCAATCCAATGGCTAAGCACAGATCACCTCAACTACCCGCGAAAGGCATCACCTCCCGACCATGTGGATGACGCATATTGGGCCGAGGTATGAATGGGTTCACGTTTTATTTTTACCTGAAATTTGGACTTTTAATTCGACTTTTTCGACGAAAGGATTTTTTGCTGAAATTCCAATGTTAAATGTTAGGAAAACCGATTCTTTTGATTTCACATCGCTCTACTTATTCACATTCTATTAAAAAAAAAGAACTAGACCCTTATCTGGACGTACTACAGTAGCAATATAATACGATTTTGAATAAACTGTAAATATCAACCTACCCGCTATTCGATTTCGCAACCATATGTGAATTTTTTCATCAGAAAAGCGATGGTTATATATATATATATATATATATATATTGTAGCACACGGCGTTGAAGGATGCGTATTTGGCAGACTTGCTAACTACCAGCCACGCGTTTGCCCTGTACGTGCAAAATGAAACCCATCCGATATGGATGGCGCAGATTCAGTCAATTTTACCGCACGTGGAATGGGCGTGCGATGTCCTGTCCAATGACACGAGCCGTCGGCCCTTTGGGGATTTGCAGGCGGTGTGTGACATCGTGGGGGCATATGTGACGCCGTACAAGGCCAAGGCCGACCGCGCGGCCGCAGAATATGGCCAAGGACCGGCACCATTTGTGCAGAATACTAGCGATTAACCATCAAGATACTCGTGATAAAACCAATCGACTTGGAATAGATGGATGACTGGAATAACACTCGTGGCGCTGTGAACAGTGTATATATACTAGTAACTATTAGTAATATATTATATACCGCTATCAACGACATTACGACGTTATCGTTTTGTGGCACGACGAAGATAAATCAAGGGGGAGAATGTCCAATATAACTGTAAATAGCCACCTTCTTTGAAACCTGAAAATGTGCCAAATACTTGTCAATTTAGGCGTATCCTCTTCTGCGAATTTTCCCTATATCATCATCGTTCCTATTTCATAGGAGCAATACAGGATATGTCTAGTTCGGTTTCAAATGTTTCGAACACATGACGATACCGGTGTAAACAGTACATGCCTACATACCTGGTATATCTCAACCTTCAATTCTGACCAAAAGCACACGAACCATGCAACACACTAGGCATACTAGCGTACGTTTGGGCATAAAGAATCTCTACATCTCGTGTCAGACAGCATCCAGTTACTGTATGTGAAGGCTCGGAACTCGACACACTGACGCAGGCGATCTCGGACATTTGCCGCACATCTGCGAGCCGCACGTCGTATATCGTAGCCCAGTACTGCTGGGTAGATGGGACATTGCACACACATCACCCCGATCGAAATCGATGTGACCATGAGTACAGGGACAATGCGGCCATGTACCTGGAAACCATATCACGCAACACACACTTGCGCGAGTGGGTAGAATTCTACGGGGACGAGTGGCGCGCTGCGATCGCCAAAGCCATCGCCATGTCTTTGAAAGGACGGCGTTGGTTCGCCGATGGCCTCGCGCCAACTCTCTGAAATCGACGAAGGGCTGTACCTCGTAGCCAGAATCGTCATGCGGTTGGCTGCGGTGGCGGTGGATATCTTCGTGAGTGTGGCGGCGGAGTCGAATCGCTTCAACATCTCGGACGCCAACTTGTTCTTCAACCGAGTCGCGAGCACCGTGTGGATAGGTCGTCCGTTGCTCGTGCTGCTGGGGCTCGTGGTGGTGCTGGTCCTGAGCATGTGTCAAGTGCCGTTGTTTCAACGCTCGTCAGGACTCACCAGACTTCAGCATACCCCCCGCCCCATCCTGTCGACGATGATCCTTGTGGGGGAAGCCACGTGGCTATCTTACATGATGCACGATACATGGATGATCACGGTGTCCAGTGGGGCGGATTCGATTGAGCACGCCACTCAATCAATTTCGAATCGCCTGCTTGACACTATAATAACGTTATTGAGGATTCCTGGCTGTCTGGGCTCCAAGGCGCGGCTGGCGGGGTTGGTCACCGTCCAAGCCGCTAGCTTTGTCGTGGCATACGTTGGCTTGAAGGTGTGGCGGGCCCCGATCATCCGTGAGACGACAGCGCCACTCGTCATGCACACGGCGGCCGCAGTGCACTTACAGCCCACCAATGGCAAACGGACGAGGATGTAGCAGCTGGACGACGCAGCGTGCGTCATGTACGGGTTGATTCCACTGGTGTTTCAACGCCGGTCGTATTTGTTGGACGTCAAGTTATGGGACATGCTGCCCAATGACCAGCGCGTGCAGCAGCGCCTTCGGCTATCGGTTTTGCAGTGTATGTCGAATTGGTTTGCCAAACCACCCCTCGTCCACCTGGCACCCCCACGCCCCCCTCGACGTGTGGTGGCATCCCCTCACGGCCGTCGGGGGCGTACATCTTGGTGCCTGTCGCCGGTAGCCTGTCGTACATTCCGCTAACAGAAGTCAACTTGGCCAATGATTTTTTCTGGGTGACGTTTAATCTTTCGGGGCACCACGCCGCCGTCGCCAACGTCCTCAGTGCTTGGAGTAACGTTGCAAGATGTTTCGCTGGACGAGGCCCGCTTCACCCGCGTCAGCATGCGATATGGTTCTGACCCCACGTCTCACTTGGAGGCGCCCCCGTACTTGGCATCGAGACTGCACGTGGAAGTGCTCAACGGAACCCTTCCCAAGGCCATCCAAGGCCTACATGTACGCAATTCCCCTCCATATGACTTGCCGTGGGTATTTGCCGAGTAGTGTTGGGTGGATTTTGGCCAGCGATGGGAAATGGCCCATACGGAAGCCCGCCAGTTGCGCTGTCACATGCACGACGTGACCAACGGGGCCGTGTACATTGAAAGCATGCTGCGCAATACAGACTGGAGCTCGTGCGCAAGTTGCTGGGGCACGGCGTTCGACGCACCCTATCGAAACGAGTTGCACAAGTCCGTTTCTGGTCTGGCATGGCTTGCCACAGTTCAGTCGGAAGCGTGGCTGACGGTGCCAGACGAAGCGCGGTATTGGACAGATGTGGGGGGGATCTCGCAGTACACGGTACAGTGGCAAAACTACACGTGCTGTGCAGTCCCAAGTCTATGGGACTGCACAGCACGTATGCGATTGAAAACGCCCTCTGGTGTCGGTACACGATGAGACTGAGTCACTCGAACGGATCGTTTCGGTTTCGCGACCAAACCACTTTCAAAATGTCCTGGGGCGTCGCCAACGATTTGCTTCAAGTGACACCAAACGCCACCACGTCCGTCGCGGGGCGGAGCTTGATTCGAAGTAGCCACGTCATTGACTTTGCCAACATTTCGTTTCGTGGTATGTTGATACAAGCTGATGCGATTGCGATCCCCTTGCACGAATCGTTTTGGCTTGCCGAATCGACGATCGGGCCCTTTGGATCGACCGATTTGCAATGTACCGTGCTCTGCGTCTTGTGACACGAATGGTCAGTACAAGCTTGGACGTGATGAAGCGATTGGTGGCTTCAATCGCCCAACGATATCACAGCGTGCTGATGGCCAACGTGGGCTACCTCAACGCAAGGCCCACTCGATACCTCCAAGTGAAGTCGTGGCCAATTTTCGTGGGGAATCTGCTCTGTCCAATCATCGGACGGGGGACTTTAGTGTACCAGGGCTTCGCCGAGATGATGGGCCGCCAAGTGCGGTATGGGGAGGGCTACCAGAGCAACTTTTCCCCGTTCAAGGACACGATTCTCCTAGCTGCGATGGCCTCGGCCTTGGCCTCAGGAGACAACGTGTAAGCCATGTGCAATCACTTAGTCACTTAGAAACATTTGACCAAATGGATTTCCAAGTCGAGTGTCAAATCGGTGTGGTCACGATTGGCCACGTAGCCTGCGTATACCGCCTACTTGTGATGATCGCCATAGCCAACATTGTGTTATTTGATTACTCGACGCCTTCTACCGCAAACCCGCACCGACAAGAAGCGGTCGTCGCTGCTGCTCAGTTCCGCGGCCAAGTACTTGTTTGAGCAGTCCCATTGGATACACCACGAGATCTACTACATGGACCCGGCGTCGGCGTTGTTCAGCGGACTAGTCATGCTGCGCTGGAGCGAATCGCTTTACGTGATGGACATCAACCTGTGGCGACTGTTGACGTTCGAACGTGGATGCAGAAGACACGCTACCTCGACATATTTGCAGCTGGCGATTCCGCACGTTGAATAAGACGTTGTGATTAATCGGACTAACAGTTAAGGCATAAAGACAGGAGCCATGATACGAGTACGGAAAGTGATCATGACACTAGCAAAGACCAACAGGATGGATTATACAGGTAATATACGAGCATTGCGCTGTGGTGACCTTAGCCCTTGGGCACGCACTGACTATACGATGGATTTCGGACAATGCACTCATCCGAAGACGTCCTGGGGTCGGTCGCCGCATTATTCACCTATCTTCCGTCTCCGCAGCCTCATCGGCAGCGGGGGTGCACTGGCTGTACCAGTCGTCCATCCAAACGCAGGCGTATTGTGCGACGCATCGAGTGGGGCCATTGAAAGTCTTCCCTCCGCACTGCTGCCATGGCTGGGCTTCTTCCTCCGACGACGGCGACGTGGACTTGGGGGCATGCGACGTTGGAGTTGACGAGGATGGGGGACGAGGGTTCATGGTTGGGGTTCCACTTGACGAGGACGGGGGAGGGTGGGGGGAGGATCCGTCGCCAGAAGTCAACCGTACGCAGTTCTTGTACACTTGCCACTGCGACGTGTGGAGCGCGAGCCACAGCATGATCAGTTTTTCACTCCCTTGGCATTGGCTGGAATTGATAGGCATGACCCCGTCGGGAATGTTTCGGGCGCAGTTGTCGTTTTCATACACTCGCGTGGCGTCGCACCAGAGTTCACAAGGGCCTTCGTGCGACAACACAAACCCTTCCGAGCCATGGGCCCACTTGACCTTGCTGTCCGATGGCAACGAACGAGGGGTTCCGTCGGCTCGAGTCAGCCCACATTCGCCCCCCGTGTTGCCCTGGGCGTCGATGAAAGCCCGAAGTGAGGCAAAGGACGATTTCTTCAACTGACGGGTGAACGCAATCGTGTTGTCTTGGGGGCTTAGATTGTAGTTCTCACCAGGCAATGCGACATTGCCGTCGATCGTGCCGCTATAACCAGTTGGGTCCCCGCCGGGGTTTACAAAGGTTGGCTGGGGGTCGACAAGGTAGCCATGAGCCAAAGTAGCAGTGGGCATGAGGGCTGCCAACAGGGTCACCGAGAGGTAGGTAGTAGTGGAATGCATGGTCGAGTGAATATTGAATTGTGAGCGCTTGGCATTTCAAAGATGCAATGCCGAATCCAAGTAGAATGCAGGCTAGAATATACGATGAACTTGGAAGTGAAATGCTACCTCATGTAGAGCCGTGAGACTGGACTTTATTTTGGATGGACGAGCGATATAC